CCGGGAGCAGCGGTAGGGATGGTGACCCAAAAGCCCTTTCCCTTGGGCTGGGAGCAGCCGGAGGGATGGTGCCTGGGAAACCCCTTCCTCTGTGCCAGGAGCAGTAGAATGGTGGCCCAGAAGCCCCTTTCTCTGGGCCATTAGTGGTGGGACAGAAGGTGGTCCAAAAGCCCTTTCCTCTAGGCTGGGAGCAGTGAGAGGGATGGTGACCGAGAAGCCCCTTCCTCTGGACCAGGAGCAGTGGGACGACGGCTCAGAAGCCCCTACCCCTGGACTGGGAACAGTGGGACTCAGTACCTTTGTCTGGTGGTCTGGTGTCTTCTGCCTCTTTGTAGTGTGGAATCAGGTGGCTGCCTGTCTGCAGTGGGGTGATTCGGTGTCTTCTGCATGACTCTTGACCTCGGTAGGGCATGCACAGACCTGCCTGTCTGCAGCAGGCTGACTTGGCATGTTCTGTACAATTCAGGACCTAGATAGGGCTTAGGCAGACCTGCCTGTCTGCAGCGGGGTGACTCGGCGTCTTCCATGCCACTCAGGACCTTCGTAGGGCATATATCTCTATTTTTTAAAGACTGTAGCATTTTCTCTTTACTTCAAATGCCAAGTTGCAAGATTTGTGGGTCGTGGAAAACAGTATGTACTTCATTATCAATATTGTCATAGATCACTTCTGTCACCATCATTATCACCACAAATTTTTTATGCACTCAATAATAATGTTGAATATTTCATGTGTAATTTCCCTTTTAATCCTCAGAAAACCTCATTAAGTATTTTATCATCCCCATTTATGAAGTGGAAGTTGGTATAGCGAGCTTAGGCAACAGGCTCAGTATAATACAACTTGTGATTGATAGAGTCAGATTTCAAAGCTTGACAGTCGGATAGCACAGCCTTTGGCATGGATCATTAAGTTATACCATCTTCCTTGTTCATGTATTGATTAAAATAAATGAACAAGTGCACAATTCAATGTGTCCTTCCTTATCTCCCTCCTGTTACATTTTAGCCTCATTTCCTGTCACTCTTCCCCAGTTCATTCTGTGATACAGCTTTTTTGAACTTTCTTCCCACTGCACTGCTCATTGGCTTCTAAGGTTTTCATACATACCACACATTCCTGACCTTCCTTCTGGACCATTTTCCTTATTTCAGTTTACTTGAACCAGGTTTAGATGTTAACAGTAAGTGATGCCTTGAGTGGTGGTACTTCTTTATTATGCTTTTCGTCATCTGTTCAACTTTAGCAAATTCCTTTTGTTCTCCCAGCCATGGTATTGATAATATTCTGTTTTAAACATCAAGATATTCATGTGTATCCCAGTATATTGTAGGCACTGTTGAGGCAAATACAGAGTACCTTGCACATCTGTGAATCGCCCGAGTCCCTACTAGGACATGATAGACACTGAGAATATAAATGACACATCAAACTAAGAGTTAGACAGACAAAGAAGAAGATATTCAAGCAAATTACAAAAGCAAAGAGAAGTTGAATTTAACTGCTCATACACTTGGTGGGAGGATTTTTAAGTGCAAAGCATTATCAGACATTAGTAGGGAGGCTGGTCAGTGTCATTAGCTATAGGTGTTTGCTAATTTTGTTTATCTAAATTAGGCTTCCATTCTCTCCTAGAAATTGAGAGAAAGGGAGCACTTTTTATGATTATATTTCAAAGTCTCCTAGGGAAAGATATTTAAGAGCTGTAAAAGCAGCAGGGAGCCGGGATAAGATTTACACCTTTAAAAAGTTGATAAATGATTTACAATTATAAGTTTTGTAAAATATTCTAAGAATAGAAGTCAGAGTCCTAGAGTCAGGAAGAAGAAATCAGTCTTAAGCTTAATCAAGCAAACCAGATTATTAAGGGTAAATTGTTTGAGATGTTTCTTGAATTAATAAATAATTAACCAGAAAACTTGAACACTTCACCATATAGCATAATAATAAAATATAATTATATTCAAGGGGCTAATGTACATATATGTAATATATGTAGATAAATTTTAAAAATAAACACATGTAAATAAATTTTAAAAATACACACATCACATTTAGCTTCTTAAATATTCAAAGTAATTTTTCTGATTTCATTTCTATATTTCTTTAATTAATGTAAATAAAATAACATTATATTATGGGGCTTCACAAGTAGAGTTTAATATTATGATTAAGACTTTTAGTTCTATATTTACTAAAGCTTCTAAGAAATTATTGATAACTTTGAATTACATTGTAAAGAAATCATCAATGTAAGCACAGTACTGTAGTTAGAACAGAAATAATAATTCTCATTGCCCATTAACTGAATTTGTTACATATCATAAATGGTGTTTAATTTTACTTAAATTATTATGTTTGTAAAGGAAATATATCCAATCTAATTAAACCTGTGTAATTTCAAAAGAAAGGAGATTTAGTTGCTATATTTATATTCCCTCAAGTGTCATTGCATATGCTGTTGCTTCTATTTTGAAGATTTGTTTTGTTTTTTACACATTTAGACTCCTTGGAATCACCTCATGTATAGGACTAGTTACTTTAGCACAATCTATCATATTGTACATTGTTTAATTTATATGGCTTTTTTCCCCCATTCCAGCATCACCATTTCTCTCTCAATTACAGATGCCTAACCATTTTGCACGTTTATGGGGCTTAATCCCAGAACTGAATTTCATTAACTGACCATAGCTTTACTTCTATTTATACACTAGTGAGTTCTTTGCTAAAATTTTGCAAAGATATGGCAGGAGAAGACAGCTAAACATCATCTACATTTGAAAGGACCAAATTTACAAATCAGTACTCTTTAATGCAATTTTTTTCCCTTTGATGAGCTGGAAGATTATTTGCAAGTATTGTAAGTTTCAGTGGAAGTGTAAACTAAGATTTTTGTCATTTTGATTTAACACAGACTCACCCAGAATGCACAGCCCTGATTTTGCATGAGAAGGGCCACCTCTACAGAACCTAAAACGTGAGTCCTGTTGATTTATTATTGAATTCTATAGTGCTGTATATCTGATCTATTGATATGACATGGCATTTATTAAGACATATAATGAGATAGTTTCTATAAGAAAAGCAGACCATAAGACTATGTCTGTTTTATTGTTCAGATTAAAAGAATTCTAGTAATTAATAAATGTTTAAGATTGAAGCAGTTAAAGGAACTATGCTATTCCTTGGCACTGAGTTTAAGGCATGTGGTTTTTTTAATGTGGATTTCATGTTCAAAATTATTTATAAAGTATGTTAATGAGATACTTCAGAATTCAACTTTTACCTTTTTAAAAATTTTCTCTGTGACCCTCATTCATAAATACTTAGAATATATATTTAGCATCTTGCTTTTCCTGTTTTGTTTTGTTTTGTTTTGTTTCAAACGGAGTAAGTGGCCAGTTAAAAATGAAACCTTGGTATACCTTTCTTCTTTGCTCTGTCATAGATCTATCCTTCAGCTCCTTACTAATGGTTAATCTCTCTTTTCCCTGTTTGACCTCTGATAAATTGTCTTTGATAACCTGCTGTTTTGCCCTTGAACCTTACCATGGGTACAACTCTGGGATATCAGAACTGTCAAAAAATAAAAGTAAGAGCAAAAAGAACAGAGCCTACTTAAGTTAGGGAAGGCATAAGGCCTGGTAATCGACTGATGAATTTTCAACTGGCAGATAGCCTTCACTTTATCCCATATGCTGTCACAGTATCTCATATAATAAGGAAATCCCCTCTCCCCAAAATAATGGATGATGAGCACCATTTGCTTTGTGAGAATCTGCCAAGGCAACATGCCATGGGGTCTTTATCTCTGAAAGTCAGGATGAAACAAGCTTGTCTGGCTGTAGATAAAGAGACTTAGAAAGAATCCTATTCAGATGTACCTGTCACTAATTTATCTGGAGGTTTTGTGATTCATACAAACTGTTCTGTGTGCAATGCCGCATTAAATTGGTTTCCTCTGGGAGCAGACCACATTCAGGGGTCCTGAGACCCGTGCTGTTGGACACTGCATGCTGAATTCCTATAGCTGCCCCTTGCTGAATTCTGATCTACTACAAGGCTGGTAACTTGCACATATGTTAGATGATCTCTTGCAACATTTCAATCACAAAACGATTGACAAAAACTTGGCTATTTCTTAATATGCTTGTTTTTGCAAAGAAAAAAATTAAACAACACTTTTCCTATTAGCACAGTCATATATTTTAATGATTCAGTAGTTATAGATACCTTTCTCTTTAATGGCCCAGGTCTTGATGAACACTCTTCTGTGGCTCCTGTATATATTCAGACAAAGTGATATGTACTTAAACTCATTAATTTATACTGAAACATGCATAACTGCTTTGAAACAAGCCCCACTAAGGAAAACAGTTTAGAAAAGATTTTTCTCATTTAGAATATAGATTTTTTTTAACTGTGGAAATTCCATTTTATCACTTGGTGTATTTTGAAAGACAATAGCGTAACTTGTAAAATAAGATGGATACTGGCTAGTATGTGAAAGGACCGTAAAAGTAAGAGATGTTTATTTTTGTATGTTGATTGTGCAGAGAGACTTTAGTATGGGTTTACTTTTTCAGATGAGGGAAAGTTAGCAAATACACTATTGACAAAAGCTGTCTTCATTTTATTGTTTCCAGGATGGGGTATGTAAAACTAAAACTTAATATCTTCTTGTGGGTTTAAAACATGCTTCATTTTGTGCAAAATTAAGCCAATAAATGGCAGAATGGCAGTTAGTGAAAGCAATCAGTGAAATCTTTCTGAAGTATTTTTAGCATGCCATGACAATAGTCTTTAGTATGGGTAAATTAGCAACATAAACTGATATGCTCTCTCTACTTTTTAAATTTAAAATTGTTCATTATATTCTGTATTGCAATGCAAAACAAATGCAATCATTTCATGCAATGGGAAAGGGAAGACTCTTCCAAGTGGATAAAAATGATAACTTTATTTTGCATTTACATAGTATAATTCTTTTAATTCTGTCCCAGTTGTGAAAGTGTGGAACATCCAACATAAACCAGAATTCTCCTCTTAATGAACAAAAGCATAATTAGGGCATTACTATGGGGAATCTATTAGAACTTTCATGCATAATTCACCATTTTTAAATGAGATAGTCTTCACATCTCCCAATCCTTAAATTGGAATGTGACCTGAAAACCTTGTAATCACTCCTAAGAAGCAGAACTATGAAACCAATATATTTAGTAATATTTTTATAAGACTTTAAAATGTTCTCGTAAGCATTTCTTTGAAAGAAAATAAAGGACAAAGGGGAAAACAGCTCATAAAATAGGAAATAATAGGATTATACCACCTGCAAAGTCTATATAATTAGGCATATTTCTGTCTCATTCTCTTCATTTTAAAATTTTACTTTCTGTACAGAATACAAAATGCTTAAACATTGAATTTTACCTTGTTTATAGGAACGTATTTAGTACCTCACAGGTAGTATTTCCTTTGCTCTTTCAGTTCTTCCCTGTATCCCTCTCTTGTTCCCTGGAAAAGTGCTTAAAAACACAGAATAAATTCATATTATTTTTAGAGCAATTCAATCTAGGAACCATTTTGTTAGATATATTTAAAATACTTAATAAACATGTTGCTGCTGTGATTATAATGATATTTTTAAACTATTCTGTCAATCATGAATTTTCTTATGTTCTGCAATGACTAGCTTCCAGTATCTCAGAATCTGTTTAAATAGTTTAAAGATCTTTACAAAAACTGTTTCCCTCACCATTCAATTTAGCTGTCATCTCTTACAAACTTCTTTAACCTCATGGCACTTGTCATAGTTATTAAGCATATTAAATTTATTATCTTCAGCTTATTTGTGAACTCCTATAAATCTAAGGCCCTATCCAGTGCCTAGCACAATGTTTATAATGTATTAAGTAGACAGTATAATGGATGACTAAATGAAATTTAAAAAATGAAAATCAAACAATTCTATAAACAAAATATCAGAAATATAATGCACAAGATAGATGCACAGAACAAAAAGTTATTGAACTACTGGCTTATTTAGCAACTTATTTATAGATCTTCATGTTCCAATAGAAAACTTCATCAAGTTTCATATCTCAGAAGCTTCTTGGTTACATATTTAAAGCTACTAAAACAAATCAGACATTAAGCACCTTGAATAAGAAAGAGAACTAATATTTTTAACTCACTTATTTCATGGTTTATGGGTGTCTTAATTCCTTTTCTTGTTGCTGAGAAAGAATACCCGACACCCAAAGTTAAAGGAGGAAGAGTTTATTGTAGCTCACTGTTTGTAGAGGTTTCAGTTCACAGTTGGCTGGCTCCAAGGCAAGGTGGCATGGCAGAGGGGCAACTCAGAGGAGAAACAGTTCATGGCAGGCAGAAAGCAGCAAACCCAGCAAGCATAAAGCATCCCCAGCAACCCTCTTTCTGTCCTGTATATTTTATCCAGGCTACACACCTTTGGCTGGGTAGCACTCATACCCAGGATAGGGTACCTTCAATCCTACCCAGAATTATCAAAACCAATCAATGGACTAATTTAGTAATCACACACCCTTGATCCCAGCATCACACACTCTACATTCAACCACCTCTGAAAAGTGCCACCACCTACGATCACATGAGACTTTGGGGGACATCTAGATATAAGCCATAACAATGGGTGATGCAACTCTTGTCACAAAGACAGATGGAGAGGGAAAAACATATTAAATTAACAGAAATTTTGTATAACATAGGATCTTCAGAAATGAAAATCCAAAAAAAGTTAGTAAAACTGTATTTTTATGTTTTGATCAATGAAGAATCAATTGTTGTAAAAAAGTACGATTGAAGAAAGGTGTGAGCTAATGATAATATGCTTTGGAAAGGGACTTAGCAAGGCCTATTTCTAAAGATTCTTTTTTTGGTTTTCTGGTTAACATTCCTTCTCTCCAAGAATAGCACAGAGCACTGCACATAGGATTGTCAAGAAAGGGGCAAGAGAAAGTAAGTGTGACTTTTCTGCTTCTGTGGTTTTCTCAATTTCCTCCAGCTTAGGTTTTCTCAATTTCCTTGCTCAGTAAGTCAAGCTGCTGTCTTTTGGAGTTTCAGCTCCTGCGCTTCATCTCATGGAATGTATACTAGGTACTGTTTAAGAATTATGAAGTTTTCTAGAAAATTAAAGTATGTATAATTTATTTAAAATATTCATTCATTTATAGAAATACTTCAGGGACATTGAAGGTTCATTTCCAGATTACCATAATTAGGCAAATATTTCAATAAACCAGGTAGCATTGATTTATGGTTTCCCATTGTATATAAAAGTTACATTGATATGATATGCTAGCCTTTTAATTGTGCAATAGCTTATCTAAAAGAACAATGTACATATCTTAACTGAAATAAGTTTTAATGCTAAAAAGTGCTAGAAATCATTTGAACTTTCAGCAAGTTATAATCTTTTTGCTGGTGGAGGGCCTTGCCTCTTCATTGCTACTGGTTGATCAGAATTGCTGCATCAACTGACTCTGTCTTTCATGAATTTCTCTGTAGTATTTAATGCTGTTTGACACCATTTTGCAAATAAAACATTCAGAATTGGAATCAATCTCAAATCATTCTGCTGCTTAAGTTATCTAACAATTTTTTGTAATTTCAACAATGTTCTTTTATTTTTCAAAAGGAAACTCCCATTCAAGAAATGACTTTCTTTGCTTATTCATGAGAAGCAACTCAATTGTTGCAGTCTTAATTATGAGATTGCACCAATGCATTCACTCTTTTCAAAGTTTACCTCTCATACTAGTTATGTAGCTATTTGTACATTCACAGTTACTTCTTCCACTGAAAGATCCAAGCCCTCATGATCCTCTATGAAGGTGGGAATCAAATTCTTCCAAGCTCCTTTTAATGTTGATATTTTGACTGTATCCCATGAGTCAAGAATATTCTTAATGGTATCTAGACTGCCGAATCCCTTCC